CACAGAAGCATGCAACAAAATCCTCAGCATACAGGAAAGGCCTCTGATACTCCAGAGTGAATATTGGTCCCACTTTCCAGCCCCCTGAGCTATTGAACTTATGTATCTAATTTATTTTTAAAATTCTCACAAATGCCCTACATTTAAGGAAGGGACATCCTGGGGGAGGGTGGAGGATCAATATGGATAAAGTGCAAAGAAACTTGAAGAACAGAATAAAGCAAAGGGATATTATGGGAGCAAGAGAGGGAAAGTCTCTCAGACATGGATCCATCCAGTGAGGAAATACGAGCTCCACAAAGAAGACAAAGATATGTGTGAAGAACCCCAGGGGTTGACCAGGTTAGAAAGCACACAGGACTGGGTCCCTAGCAGGTGGCTTGCACCCTGAGAAACCCACTGAACCCCCACTACTGCACCTTTAAAAATGAGTCTACCATACAAATTGCTTGTATCATTCCTTGGCATGTACCCAAAGGACTCATCCTACTGTAGAGATACCTGTACATCCATGTTTTTTGTTGTTCTTTTCAGTCACTAAGAAATGGAAACAAACTAAATGTTGCTCAACTGACAAATGGATAATGAAAATGGGGTACATTTACACAATGGAGTTCTACTCAGCACTTAGAAAAGATGAAATTATGAAATTTGCAGGTAAATGGGTAGAACTAGAGAATGTGGGGGTGTGATAGGAGTATGTTCCTTCCAATGCAGCTCCCTCTAGGACTTTTAGCATAAAGGCAAGTTGGATTTTGTCAAAGGCTTTTTCTGCATCTACTGAGATAACTAGTTGGTATTTTCTTTAAGTCCATTAACATGTTTTATTACATTTATTGACTTGTGTATATTGAACCAGCCCTCAATCTCTGGAATAAAGAAGACTTGATCATGGTGGATTATCTTTCTGCTGTGTCTGTATGTGGTTTGCAGTATTTTGTTGAGAATCTTTGCATCTGTGTTCATTAAGGATGTGGACCTATACTATTCTTTCTTCATTGTATCTACCCAGTTTTGGTATTAGACTGACTTCACAGAAGGAGTTTGAGAGTTCTCCTTCTGTTTCCACCTTTTTGAATAATTTAAGAAATACTGGTTGTAGATTGTTGAGTGTCTGGTAGAATTCTGCTGTGAATCCATCTGGACCTGAGCTTGTTTTAGTTGGGAGGTTTTATATTTCAAATTCCTTATTTGTTATTGGCCAATTTAAGCTGTTGAGATCTTCTCGTTTTAACTTTGGTGATTTCCATGTATTTATAAATTCATCCATTTCACTTAGATTTTCAAATTTTATAGTATATAAAGAGTATATTGAAGTATTCCTTGTAATGTGGTTGGGTTTGTGTGTGTGTGTGTGTGTGTAATATTGTTTCCCCTTTCATCTCTATTCTGTTAATTTAGATTTTCCCTTTCTTTCTGTTGGTTAACTGGTCTAAGGGTCTGTCTATCTTCTTTAGCTTTTCAATAAACCAATTCTTAGATACATTTTTGTGTTATTTTCTTTCTTTCTATTTCATTCATTTCTGTTCTGATTTCTGTTATTTTCATCTACTAGGTTTGGGGTTGGTTTGTTCTTGCCTTTCCAGAGTCTTGAGTTGCAATGTTAAGTCATTTTTATGTGCTCTTTCTGATTTTTTAATGTAAGAACTAAGAGCTATAAACTTGCTTTTAAGGAATCCCAGAGGTTTTGTTGTGTTGTATTATCATTTTTGTTCAGTTCCAAAATATTTTAATTCTTTCTTAATTTCTTCTTTGACTCATTTGTCATTCAGAAGTGTGTTGTTTAAATATCCATGAGTTCATGTAGATACTAGAGCTTCTTTTGTTGTTGATTATAACCTTAATAGTAATGTGGCCTGATAGAATATATGGGAATATTTTAATTTTTTTTTTTGTATTTATTAAGGTTTGTTTTGTGTCCCAGCATATGCTCAGTTTTGGAGAAACATACATTGACTGCTGAGTAGAAAGCATATTTGGTGTTTGGTGTTTGGTGT